TCAGAAATATTTATGGAAGCTAAAGAGAAACTAAAAGATCATATTTTACATTGGGGATATTTAGATAGTAAACTACGGTACTATCAAGTCTTACAGCAGGCTGATGTTTCGATATCTACAGCTCTTCATGAATTCTACGGCGTAGCTATGTAAGTATTCGGCAATCCTCGGCTGTTTCCGTAAAGCAGCGTGGCTAATGAGTTATCCTGGGCTGTTTCCGTAAAGCAGTGTGGCTAATGGGTAATTCTCGGCTGTTTCCGTAAAGCAGTGTGGCTATTGGGCAATTCTCGGCTGTTTCCGTTAAGCAGTGTGGCTATTGGGCAATTCTCGGCTGTTTCCGTAAAGCAGTGTGGCTATTGGGCAATTCTCGACTGTTTCCGTAAAGCAGCTTGGCTATTGGGCAATTCTCGGCTGTTTCCGTAAAGCAGTGTGGCTATTGGGCAATTCTCGGCTGTTTCCGTTAAGCAGTGTGGCTATTGGGCAATTCTCGGCTGTTTCCGTAAAGCAGTGTGGCTATTGGGCAATTCTCGGCTGTTTCCGTAAAGCAGCTTGGCTATTGGGCAATTCTCGGCTGTTTCCGTAAAGCAGTGTGGCTATTGGGCAATTCTCGACTGTTTCCGTAAAGCAGTGTGGCTATTGGGCAATTGTCGGCTGTTTCCGTTAAGCAGCGTGGCTATGTAAGTATCCAACCATTCGGCAATCCTCGACAGTTTCCGTAAGGAGCGTGGCTATCCACAATTTGGCAATTCTCGACTGTTTCCGTAAAGCAGTGTGGCTATTGGGCAATTCTCGGCTGTTTCCGTAAAGCAGTGTGGCTATTGAGCAATTCTCGGCTGTTTCCGTAAAGCAGTGTGGCTATTGGGCAATTCTCGGCTGTTTCCGTAAAGCAGTGTGGCTATTGGGCAATTCTCGGCTGTTTCCGTAAAGCAGTGTGGCTATTGGGCAAGTCTCGACTGTTTCCGTAAAGCAGCTTGGCTATGTAGCGTGTTAACTCTATGACGTCTGCTTTAACCAATCAAATTTCTACCCTCTCCAGCGCTGACATTTTGTGACGCGGTGTTTATCAGGTTAGGTCAAAAGGTAAATTTGACGAACGTTCAAGAGGGCTGTCGTCAGACCCTTACTGGAGTGCCTATAAAAAAAGAAACGAAAGTTTGGTCTGACTTGCAATTCTAGTTACCTAATCGCACGATAAGATAACTATATTTGGCCATAGTTCTTATAATTGTGGTGACAATAAGGCCAAACTTGTTCGAGGTAATTTTTTGTTCATATTACTGCAGACGAGACCCCTTTAAAATTTTTGTATC